GCACTTGCAGGCATACCGAGAAGCTGTATGTGCCGATTATACTGCCTAGGAACCCTGACTAATATTTGTCCAATGTAGGTGATTTCTCCGCTGTACATCAAGAACCCGTTCTTTGATCTTGGCCGTACACGGGAGTGGGTTGCGCAAGCCCCTTTCGATGCTTGGATGCGACTCCAACCGCAGCCCAAAGACAGAGGACGGTCATTGTCTCGTTCCAGCCCATCTTCGGCCCGTTTCCCTTCGTCTCGAGGCACCAGCCCACCGTTCTCGTCGAGCAGTCGCGCTCAGTCGATTGCTGCGATGTCTGACTTTCGTTCGCGCTCTGTTTCGTCACGCGGTGCCTTTTCACGGCCCACATCACGTTCTCCAACACCTGAAACCGCACCCTTTTCCCCCAGCATTTCCGTGCATCGCTCACAATCAATTTCTTCTCGTGGCGCTTTGTCACTCCCCGTGTCGCGCTCTCCATCGCCTCAGGCGACACGCGGCCTCTCGCACCAGCGCGTTGAGCGGGGCGCTATCTCGCTACCGTCGTCGCGTTCTCCATCGCCTCACCAGGCTGTAAAGCCCGTTAAGTGTTCGTATGTCCTGATTTCATACTATCTTGTGTTCTGACTTGTTTTAGCTCGTGGCAAGGGGAAAGGGAAGGCAGGGGTGAAGATCACCCGGGAGCTCTCTGTCGACAATCTCATCCCACTGACTGCGGCTCCGAAATCTTGGGATATTCCACGTGACGGGAGTGCGTACATTCTTGACCTGTCGGCGACTCCGCATGTCCTCCTCGACAAACACAGGAAGAAGCGTACAGTCGACGCTTATCTACGGGCAGAGGTCAGCGGACCGCTACATAGCTATATATTCAGTGCTTATCGTGTCTACAGGACCAAGACGCGTGGGATGGCTCCACGGGTCGAAAGGAGGGTGATGTATGGGTCTATGCGTTCGGTGGCAGTAGGGTACGTGCACGTCGAGTGCAACTAGGTTGTAAAGGGGTTTTGACATGCGAGCATGCATCCGATGAGCTGTTCCGAGACTGCGAGCGGTACGAACGGGATGACTCTGACATGCAGGAACTCTGGAGTCACGAGCTTGACGCCAACGAGAGAGAAGCCGGCTCAGTGTCCGCTATTATCTCGCGGTATGCATTTCCGTTTTCCGCGCGCCTCTTACTTCTAACTTGTATTTCAGTTTCTATATACGGGTTAGTCGCTCGAAATGTAAAAAGGCGGGATGCCCGGGCATTCCTATCCTTATTCCACTGCGAAATGTGGGTAGTCAATGACGAGCTCTCCCGCACTCACAAACCCAATAGGGCCCAAATCAATATGGGAAGATTTACTTTATTGGTTGTTCATGCTGGCATCCGAGCGAGCGGTGGCTGCATCGCTATTTTGCGGTGCCATCCAATGTTGATGAGGATGTGTTCAGATATGTGCTGGAAAATGAAGGCCGTCTACCCGGCCCAGCTACATCCGACTTCAACCGTCACTGTGTGCTTTCGGTGCACCCACGTGTCGGCTTAGCTCATTGTGGTACGTTCAAAGCCTGATGTTTTGTCATAGCTAATCTAGCACAGTATTTAGCCATGTTCTTAATGGGCAGATCCATGACGCACGGATGGTTCCCCATAAGTGTGACACCACAATGCTTGTCTTTGTCCCTGTTCGTCCGCCCCTCGACCGCCGCCATCGGGACTGGTACGAATGGCGAGATGAATACGAATACATGGCTATTGTGCAGGTCAAAATCGCGCATAGCCATCCAGTGCACCCCGAGACGAAACCAAGTGCTGACGACACTCGACGGCTTGACGCCGCAATCGACGCAAATCGGTGTCGAGAATCTAACAGTTCAAACATTGCTGAATGGTTTGTCACTTCGGCCCTTCAGTTTACAATCATTGATCTTCGTGAAAGCACAATCGACCGTCGCATTGTATGGGGGAAAGCAAGTCAGCGAGGTTAGTCCGGCATTTGCCGATGTCCGGAAAGTCCGGGATCGAATTGCGGAGCGCCGTAAAGAGGAGTTTCCGCGTGGAACTGGGTGGGAAGGTAGGCGGTTCTTTGTTGATCTCGCTCAACTGCCTCTGATTGTATTCAGGCGTGCTTCATTATATATCTACAAAAGAACGCGAGGTCCCCATTTCAGAGCGCTACGTTCATGCGGCGATTTCAAGGGCCGACTACAATATTGTGGTAACAATGCATCCCCAGCTCGCCCACTATATCCATAGTGTTTTGGCCATTGCCATCGATTATACATTCAAGCGCGTGGAGGCTTCGACGAATGGGAGGTTGTTGGATTTTCCGATCGGTACAAGTGCCGTGAGTGCATCAAGTCCCTTGGGTTTCGTCACAAGGTCTGACTGGTACCAAGGCATCGTCTTTGCGACTCTCTACTGTGACCGCAAGACCCGCCCTTCATATGCCCAACTTTTCTCCGAGTTCTTCGACACAATCTCTCGTGTCACGGCCCGGCCTTTTCGTCTCACGTCCATTTTTTCCCGATGCTGCGTGTCGAGTGATCATCATGGACGGTGAGGTGGCTCAAGCACAGGGCCTTGGCGACTTCTTAACTCGGTACAACGCACCCTCCATTAGTGGTATCAACGAGGCAGATCCACTTAAACTCATTCTTTACTGCCTCAAGACGTGTACAATACATTTTCAGCAGTGCGTATCATTCTACTATTGACACTTTCATGCTCAAATGGCCCCAATCAGCCATATCAACGAGCTTTCGCGTGCAAATGTCCCGCATGATATCATTTCTCGGCTCAAGTCCATCCTTGGTCTTGCCTCGGACGATGAAATTGATGAATGGCATCAGTTTTGTCGTGCGCAAACGATTCCAGCGGTGAAAAGTATGTGATATTGTGTTCTATGTCAACTAACAGATAGGGTACTCACAAATTCAAAGACTGGTATGCACAAAAAGTGGCAAACCCATGGTATCTGCCTTCGATCAACTCTTTTCTGTCGAAGATATCGCTAGATGACCACCGCATCACTCCGAGTACAACCAATCTGGCAGAAAGTGTGCATGCGGGCATGAACGCTGAGACGTCAATTCGCTTAGCGCTCTTACCAGGCATCCTAAAGTATGTGATTATGATTTAACATTGAAGCAATGCTAATATTTGACCAGGAAGAAGGCTCGCGACAACGCGCAAGTCGATCGGCTCCGACAAATTGCTCGGGATGGTGTCATGCGCAAACGCTGGAATGGCCCCGCGGAGCGCGAGAAGTTGGCTGCTCAGAGGCGCGAATGGGGAGCACATCAAGCGTACGACCGAAACGAGCACCTCCGTGCTTTTGACGACTTAACGGAAGAGCGCAAGGATGGGCAGGAGGAGTCGAAGCTATCGATAGCACGGGAGCGGCAGCTGCAGCAGGATATTGCAGAGCTTCAGGAGCAGATTGCGGTGGACAAGCGGCGAGACGATTTGAAACATGAGATCAAGGTTCTGCGGAGCGAAATTGCGGCCGAGAAGCAGGCCCGACGGGATTGGACGGCGCGTAGGCTTGTTATCGACGCGGAATTGAAGGATCTCCGGGCAGTGCCACTCAAAGGAGTTCAAATTGGTGGTCGTCGGGCGGTCACAAGCAACTCCAGTGGTGTGTCTCGTTTTGAAACCTTGTGTCTGAGTGGTCGCTGACACCCTCATCGTGATAGCCACTCCGAGTGATTCTATTGGAGCAGAATTCCTTTCCGAGATGGCTGGCCCGGCGCCTGATACTGACGACGGACATGACTTCAACGCCGACTTTATGCCCCGGCTAAATATGCCCGAAGACTTTGTGTCAACGCTGCCGGCGCCGGTTCCTCTCGACCCTGCGCTCGAGCCACCTCCGCCCGGAGGTAAGCTTGTGTCATCTGTTTTTTCTATCTCACCTGTTTTAGTTCTGAATGGCGCTGATATATTCGACTTCAGCAGCGCGGAGATTGACCTAGCAATGGCACCATTCGATCCGCCGATGATCCGACCAGATTTAGTGGCCAACGGGCCGTCTGCATTAGATGCCATGGTACGTGGATTGTATGCTTCAGTGCAGCTTGACTCATGTCAACCTAGGCCGTTGCTCCACCTCAGGCTACTCCGCTGTCCGGAAGCAACACTATTTCTCAGTTACCTGTGGTTCCCGCCCAGCCGGGCGCCGGGCCGGCCGCGGTCAGCGCACCGATTAACCCTGTATGCAAACCCCTCTCCACTATACGTGTATATTCATAGAGTCCAGACAGTGATCCAGTCTGACAGTCGACGTACAAGGGCAAATCCCCGAGCCAAACGCAGGGCTGACGATGATTTGCCCCCGAGTGTGGCTGTACCCAAGCGAGCCAAGACCGGCACGAAGGATCCATTGATCAACTGGGGCTGTGAGATCGACGGAGTCACATACCCATCGGCTCGTGAGGCGGCGAGGCAGATCCCGGAGAGATTCGGGGAGGCATTTCCGGGCTATGCAATGTATATTAATGAGCGAGTGAACAAGTAAACATTATCACAGTCCAACAAATTGGCGGTTGTGTTGATCACCGTGAGTCCCACTGTCTTAGCCCGGAGTAGGACTGGGACCATCAAAGTAGGACTGAGTCCTACTGTGCGAGTCCCAGTCCTACTATTCTTGTATATACTCCACCGACCGGCTGGAGACGCAGGCCAGCGCACCAGCTGCTGACGCCGATGCACGCCTCTTGTTGAACGATCTCGCTGACGCATATCCGCAGCTCACGATCCTCTGGATTCACGGCCGGGACTTCTTCCTCATGCGCAGCTGCACGGCCGAAGGCATGGACGAGCGTGTTGCAGCCGTGGGATACGATGTTGATGCTGTTAGCAAGAAGTACATCGACCTTTGGAATCGGCGAGAAGATTTCATTTAAAGGACATGGTAAGCGACGATCGATACAGACTCTTTTCGCAGTCAAGACTTGGAACTGGTTGCCTGTTTGTCTTAGGGCGGACGGGGAGCAATATACATGATTTCGGTCCTCAGTGTTTATGCACAGATCGACGGGCGCAAAACGAACAGGATGAGCCACAGTACAAAGATGCAGAAGATGTTGGCAGTGAGCTGGACCTGAGTGCCGTTAGATTCACGCATCTCAAAGGAATGCATGGGCTTGTTGACGGATGCGGAAGTCAGAACGATCGCATCTAAGTCTGATGCACCGTTAGCACTATAGCAGCTATACTGAGAAGAAGATCACAAACCAAAATACGCGCCGAGCTCGCCCGGAATGTTGGTTACCGTAACGGTGTGTTCGCGGTCGTCCAGATTTGCTGCGAAATACGCCAACGTGTTGTCCTTTTCGCATGCATGCGCAAACGCCCCGCCGCAGCCGGACACCCCGTTGTACAGAGTAGGTGGGCCACCATCGAGAGAAACGCTATAGAGCCCATGCCGGTCCGTCTTATCGCCGAAAATGAAGATCGCCGTCGCTGTCGTGCGTCAGCCCCATGCGTAGTCCACCGAAACCGGCAAACGACTCACCGTTGAACGTCAGGGACACAGAGGCGCCATCGCCGTTCGTATAGCGGGGAGTACCCGCCCGAGAACAGCGGGTTGTACACGTTCTCGGTCCAATCTCCGGTGTAAACAAGGCGCGCATCCGTTTCCTCCAGCGTCGTGTTTGTCAGGATCGCACTACGAAGATAATATGAGCATGAGATGAGAAGACGGTCGCAGGCTGGCGCGTACCCGGCTGGCGCAACATCCACCGTCGTCTTCACGAAATCGACCAACAGATCTGTCCCGTCCCATTTGGGCCTTCGCCCCAGATTCGTGACCTTGACCAAATGCTCCTTATACTCAAGCCCCCGTTGGTGGAACAGCAGATATTGTCCGATGTTTCGCAATGCGTGGGCGCTCCGGACATGTTTGGATGCATCGATATCCACCTCATACGCGCCATATTTCGGGCCCGCCGCCCCAAAGATGAAGAACTCGGACCCTGGCAAGTTTGTCCATGGGCTCCGCCAGCGTTTTCAGCACACACCTTTGAATTTGAACTCGAACACTGCCCCAGTAATGTTCGTGCGGTGGTACGTCTCGTCAAACCACCCGGCCAGCGTGGCGTTCGGGCCCGCAGACGGGTCCGGCGTCGCCCAGTGCGACTGGTTGGGATATGTGATCAGCGAGTCGAAGTCGTCGATGGTGAGGTTGAACTTGAGTGGGTGCTGGTGCTGGGCTGCCATTGTAAAGGGTAGTGTACGGTGGGAGGATGAAGGAGGAGCAAGAGCCGGCGCTGGGAAGGTGGGGCGACACGTCATCGCAGGCTCCGGGACGTAAGCAGGAGCAGGACGGTGGAGTAAAGGCGGCGGTAAATGTCCCATGATCGTTTTCATTGACAGGACCATGCGGCGAGGAAATCTCTCAATGGATTATGAATAACCATGCATTACAAGAGTAACAACACGTACTGATAATAGAATCCTCTGAGAAGAACTCGAAATTGAGAAACGAGCAATCAGCCACACGCGGTTTGGGTACACTCAAATGGCCCCAGTTTCGCGTACAGTGTGCTCCCACAACATCTCCACGTGCTCTTCATCCGCAGGCCAGTACCCAATATCGTCTCCTTTTGCGCCGCGTCGAACGAAATTGGCGGTCGTGTCCGTTGGAGAGAAGAGCGCAGAAAGGTGGTATTCAGCGCATGTCTGTTGATATGAGATAAGCCCCCCCCGATAAGCGGTCACTGAAGTGCAATATTTCACCTCTGGAGCCACCGTGAACGGCATCGACGCCATGGAAATGAGTGGCCCGAACGGCTTAAGCGGCCACGACTTCGGGAGCATCATCGGGGTGCGGACAAGGCCGGGGAAGGCATGCGTGAACTGAACGGTACGATTATGTGCAGCAAACCTCTGTCGCAGACCAAATAAGTGTGCGAGCTCGCAAAAGTACCATGACAGCTCACCTGCATCGCTAAATCCGTATACGTCGCCGCCACCGTGGCGGCTTTCACCGCCCCATAGCGCTTCTTCAGCCCGAGATCGTCCCAGTCAATGCTGCTGCCCGTCCCCGCACCAAGCACCGAGTAGACATGCGCTGGCTCGCCCGCCGCAGCCGCATTCTGTAGGAGAGGGAGGAGCGAATGGATGAACAGCCAGCGTGCATAGTAGAGCACAGCGAGTTTCTTGTCGATGCCCTCGTCCGTGGGGTCACAGTTGCTGAACACAGTGAAGAATCCCGGGGAGAGCACGAGGAAGTTGAGGCGGGGAAGGTCCGTGTGCTGCCGCGCAAGCAGTGTGGAGCACACATAGCGAACGTTGCCCATGAGCGACACGTCGCAGGGGAGGAACTCGTGATGGTGGTTGGCGACTTTGGGGAACGAATCGATGCTGACTCGCGCAGCGTCAGCGTTGCGCCCTGCGAGGAGGATATGGGCGTTGCCCTGAGTGTGGTGGGCGAGCCGCTGGGCCAGCGCTTGTCCGATGCCAGAGGTGCCCCCGACAAAGAGCGCGCTGGGTTTGAGGCGAGCGTGCTTGGATGCAAATGCAGCGTTGAGTTTGAGAGCTTGTGCGAGAGTGGGCATGACGGCTGAAGGCAAAAAAAATGACGTGACGTGGGACCACGTCATTTCGGATCAATCTTGTAGTCACAGTCCGTGACTCTTCCACTTAACAACCATCATGTCGACCACCACATTCGGACGAGCTATGGCTCGAAATCGCCTCTCATCTCCCGCCTGAACACCTCCAAAAGCTTCTTCGCCTGGACTGTCGGCTCAACCAGCTTATCCGCCCTCTGCTCTTTGCCCACCTCGCATTTTCCCGCACGTTTTCCATACGACCGGATATACCATCGCGTCCTGCATTCCACATTGGGCAGTCCCGGGTCGACTTTTGGCTGTCGGATACGATTGCGCCGCTGGTCAAATCGTGTCACATCGGCAGGAGAAGCCTTACCGCGGAGGACCTGGCGGTGCGGCTCCCAGTTGGCCCGGACTTCATTCTGCCCACATCGGCAGAGCTCCGCCTGCTTTCCGGTCGTCTAATCGGAAATATTGCGCGCTTTTCACACATACGCCATCTCAAGATCGATGACGAAAACCTTTCGAAAGCGGTGATCGCGGCGCTACACGGGCTGCCGCTCTTGGAGCAGCTGAACATCCAAAGCTGCGAGATTGAGGCCGGAGTTGCCGATCTATCGCTGTTCCCTACGCAAGCACCACTATCCCATCTCGCTCTCTCATGGTTTGAGCCTCCAGACCCAGTGAAAGAGCAGTTCTGGAGCTCTTTTATCAATCCCAATCACCTGGTCGCCCTCTCATTGAACACCAGCCTGGCATTTTGGCAACAAGACCTAAGCGTAGCTCCTGTTTTCCCGCACACACAGAAGGTCACACTTTTTCACAGTGCGGCCCCGCCAACATCTACGTTCTCCGCCGTATTTGCAAAAGCCTTCCCCGCCATACAGGATCTGGGCCTATTTCCTTCGTCTCCTGCGCCTCGGGCCAGTGATTCGTGGCTCCGCGCGCCTCACGAGTCGTTATGCGCCGCTCTTGAAACTGTAATCCGTCCTCATGCGAGCCAGCTGGTCCGGTTGCGCGGATTTCAGCACATCTTGCGCAGCTTCTCGGCACCCCCGTGGCGGATAACTCACCTTGGCCTGTCGCCGTTTGCCTTCTGTGACCTGACTTTCCTCTGGCGGGAGCTGCCGCGCTGTGCCAGCCTCACCCATCTAGCGCTGACCGTATTCGACCTGGAGCAACATAGTTTCGCTGCAACATTGCAGCTCTTCCCGAGTCTGGAGGTGCTGTACATGCATGGCCTGAACGCTTCACTCGTAGCTTTTCAATTAGATGTGCTCATCAGTTTAAGCCTGACCACGTTGCTAACATATGGTGATCTGGGAGAAATTGTCTGACAACATCATCCGCCTCCCGCCGAACCTTTCCTCGCTGCTTATCAGCACGTCGCGATGGTCGGTCGCGTGGGGCCACGAAATTGTTATGCATGTTGAGGCCACAGCCAGCGCCGCGCATGCCTTGCTTGAAGCCTTTATCGCCCGGTACCCGCAGCTGCATCTCCTCTGGATCCGCGGTATCGATTTCTTCATCATGCGTAGTTGCGAGGCACCGGGCGTGGAAAAGCGCATGGCGGCTGTTGGGGACTCTGCCAAATCTGTCGGGAAGGAATACATGCACTTCTGGAATCGACGTGCAGATCTTATCTAGGCTGACAAGGACAACTTGAATCGATGTTTATTATGCAAGTGTATGATCATGATATCCATAGCTGCTATATTTGATTGATAGATCATTTCGTGTCAACTTAACTTTGGGATCCTTGATCATGCATGGACTTCCGACAGTGCACTGTACTGAACACTAGGGCTCCTTGTATCAACATTTGTCCAAACTGTTATGACCTTCTATTATCTAACACCCTAAAGACAGTAAACAAATTATTCAAGTATTGCTGTTTCGGACTAATTGGGCACATATAAAAAACACTGATATATATAAAATAAGTAGTCTAGAGTAAATAATCTTTATCTTAGTCAATATTTGACTGTTGGACTTGTGACTAATATTAGTGCTGGCTATGAATAAATATATTTCTAAATATATTCTAAATATTATGAATATAATATGATCTCAGTGCAGACTTTGAACATTAATATACCTGCATATTATATGGATATATTATAAGAATATCCAATTATGCTCAAATATTTGACCATTCCTGGTTTTAGTAAAACATCTACTGTACTATTTTGATCAATTGATCCTGTTATGGTTATATTAACATTTTTGCCTGAAATTTTTGTGCCAGTCACAGTTTCTGAGGTCGCGAACTGGCCTGAGATGGAAAGGTTTTCAAAGACTACGGGGGGTCTGAGGAGCATGAAGAGATGAGTGGTTAGCCCAGAGAATAGACAATATTAGCCCAATGACTACATCCCGTAGGTACATACAGCTTTTATACAGAAAAGTATTAGGGATAGTGAGAATGGCCTGCATGCATGCTGTACTTGAGTGTGCATGAGGATGAAAGGAAATCGGGGGGCCTGTATCGGCCGCTTTTTTTTCACTAAAACCCCGATGTGGAAGGGTGGAATGTCCCGCTCATAGTTACTTACAAATACACGATTACTCACTTACTCTCCTATTCTTCCCAGTATTTAGTTGGCCTGTCAATCAGGAATAAATTACGCTTCCTTACCCAGAGCCCCATCGCGTCCGCGCCAGTGCTTTCGAGTGTCCCAACGAGGACAAGTGCCAGTGTACCTGTTTCCATTCCTACTCGACATTTCGACTACATTCTTACTCCTCGCCTACTCCTACTTCCTCCCTCTGCTCTTTTCCAATCATCCCCACGGCTGGACGACCTGTCACCAATATTCTGACGAACTCAGGGTCCCCGCTTGGACCCATTGCCACTTCTTCACCGATGTGAATCTTTTTCAATAACTTTAACTGAGATCATCAATGTTGTCCTCATATGACAGAGCTGTAGTAGCCATGTGAATATATCGAATCATAATATGCAACAATAGATCATCTATCTTATACTTGCCAACTTAGCATCACATTCACAATACTCCAGTATAGTAAGTAGGTGAATTCAACACTATCTATGCAATATCATATAGCCATTCAGTGTATATAGATAGTTGATTGTTGGAACCCTAGGACTCAAGTATATAAGCTACAACAGATCTACCAATGACCAATTTCTGTTGATCAAGGTATTCACAAACCTTTATTGATATTTACACTGTATTCCTCGGTGGATTTGCCTTATGATAGCATAAAATTATATATGTTACCTTCATAAGGTATTCCCAATCTAAAAAAACTTACATACTAGGCCTTATGTGGCATTTATTAGTGATTGCCTTTTTTAGAAGAGCAGTTAAAAAAACAATAGTCACTGTATTCTGTATCTTTGTATAGGTTAAGCTGTAGCAGACTATGACAGTAAGTACCTAACTATTGGCACTACCTAAATGAGGCCATTGCCTACAGGCATGTAACCTTTTTAAATTAGAAATATCTTATGAAGGTAGTACATGTGGTCATGTACTACAAAACAAAGCACGAAAAATGTGGAGACATATGTGGGGGTAATATGATTATATTTCCTCAAAGTGACCACCATGACAAATATTCTAGCAAATTCTATTGAGTGAGTCAAAAGAACAGTGGAGAAAGTTCCCGACGCATCACATGTTGGTGATGGTGGCGGAGCCTGGGCCGGCGCTGACATCGTTGTCTCAGTAAAGGCTCGCGTTCATATCTTCAACATAGCAGTGGTAACGCCAACCGGAGTTAAGTGTACCACTTCGGTGGTGGGTCCGGGCTAGTTGGGCCAGCCCTCTTGCAGAGCGCACTCCAAAACTCTTCATGACATCATGTCACATTTCTGATTCTATACTAAATTGCTACATGTTTAGCCTGAAATATGCTCTTGGATTGCACTCTGCAATGGGGGTTGGTTTAGGCGTCTGCTAAATTTATTGACATAGGGAATGTTTTAACCTTAATTAATGTGTATTCCACTGATTAACAAGCAATCACCAAAAAAAAAACCAAAATAATCTGAAGCTATGATCATTTAAGACATTAGAGAGATAACTTTTGGCGTCTTGATATTTCAAGTCTACTCACACCAGCTTTTCTTGATAGTTTCTCATCAACTCTCAAATATAGTTGCAATACCAGTACTTAAACTTGAATTCTGATTTTGCAAATTGCCGGACATTTGCCTAGTTAGACTGTTATAGTACTGCTATTTGAGAATGAATTCACTAACATTATGGGACTTGAGAACAATTATCAAAGGCAGTAATTAATTCAGTTACATTCCATTTCAGCCTATTTCAAAAAGTATTGATAAACATGTAAGGATTAGCACCAGAATTGAGCAAATCATACAACTATTACACTATGCCTATCAAAATTTCTAACATGGAAATCTTCATCTGTTGTTTGTGACCTGGAATTTTGTACAAGATATCTTGAATGTATCAGGATTGAAAGGATGACCATTTGCATAGAACACTTTATTTAATTTGAGTTAGGTGATGCTTAATAAGTAAAGTAGTTATATAGACCCTGCTAGGGCAGAAAGCAAGGTCAGACGCCGGAGACGGCTAATATATTATTGTGTGCCGTAAGTCGATGTACCTGTCTCTCACAGCATCAACATCATCGCCCACGGCCATGACGCGCTCGTCCGCCCCCTCTGATACTAGTACTCCGTATTCATATGAACTATTGCTTCGGACTCTAAATGAAATCGGCCTGCCGATTCCACAAGTCGATGTACTTGTCGCTAACCGCATCAACATCGTCGCCTACGGCCACAACCCCCTGCTCCGCGCAGTTGCGCATGATGAAGAAGTCCCATCCACGGATCCAAAGGAGCGGGAGCTGCGGGTAGCGCTCGACAAATGCACGCAGCAGCACAAGCGCGTCGGCGCCGGTCGGCGGGGCAACGGCCTCTGTTACGTCTCCAGGCAGGTCACGGTTGGACCGCCAGCGCTTCGTATTGATGAGCAGTGAGCGCAGCGTCGGCGGCAGAGTGAGGTCCGAGGACAGTGCTGTCCAAATCGACATTTGCTAGAAGTCGGGCAACATCAGCAGGGCATGTTTGGACGAGGATTTACGTACCATTGGAAGATTCAGGCCATGCAGGTAAAGCACCTCGAGCCGCGGGTATAGCTGTAGGACCACATTCAGACTCCGCGTGTCGACGTCGAATATGCTCAGCGAGAGATGCGTGAGCGTTGGGCAGGGGTCGAGGTCCTCGATGAGGTCGGAAAGCGCGCGAAATAGGTTTGGCGACAAGCCGAGGTGGCTCACCCGCCACGGTTCCGTGGAAAAATGGCGCAGGATGCTGTAGTACCCACGGAGGCGCACCAGTTGGCCAGCAATTGGAAGGAGCGCAGTGCGTAGAATGGGACACAAGGATTCATGGGGATTCCGTGTCCACTGGTCGAGTTCGTTTTCAGGCAAGGGGGATGCAGGGAAGAGGCCGAGGTCTTGCAGGGCGGGGAACGATTTCGCGAGAACGTGGGGCAGCGATGCAGCGGGGGCGGTCGCAAGATAGAGCAATGTGAGTTTAGTCGTGCGCCGGGATACTGGTGCCATTTGCGAATCCTGGAGCCAGAAAGCAAGTTGGATGTTCAGAGTGACAGCACGCAGGCTATCGGCGTTAAAAAACGCGCTCCAGAACCGCTCTTTCTCTGGGGCAACGGACTGGAACGCGGACAACTGCACGACGGAACGCGGCGCGTGTGTCACAGCCAGGGATAGATCAGTTGCGTCGTCTTCAATACGGCAGCCCGTAAGGTCCAAGCGCTCCAGCAGTGGCAACCCATGTATGCCAATAATCGCGGCCATCGATAGAGTTTCATCGTCAACCGTCAGCCGCCGCAGTCGGGTAAAGTGCGAAAGGCTTTCGACGAGTCGGAGGGAGAGGATACGGAGTTCGGTTGCCGTGGGGAGCACAAAGTCCGCACCGATCGGCATCTGCGTCGCAAGCTCCTCCGGGCTCAGCACACTGAAGGCCAGCTCGCACGATTGGACCAGCGGCGCGATATGATCGGAGAGCCAGAAGCCCAGCCGCTGCTGCCCGCTCTCGAACGCCGGGCGCGCAGGCAGGATCGGCGGCGTCGGCGACGCGCAAAACATCCGCGAAAAGGTGAGCTCGGCGAAGAGCAAGGGGCGAGTGAGCCGGCTCAACCGCTTGTCTAGCTGGTGAAGTGTTTGGAGGTGTGCACACGGAAGATGGGCGGCGATTTCGAGCCACAGCTCGTCGGGCACGTTGTCGGTGAAAAACGTGGCGGTGGACATGACGGTCAAGCGTGGGTGTGTCACGCCGTGGGAGCCCGGTGACTGCGAGTAATGCAGGATACGTGATCACACAAAAACGTAGTATTGATCCGAGATGACGTGGTTCCACGTCATCTTTTTTTCTTGGGCACTTCATTTCATTCTGCTCAGTAGTCACATAAAAGAGAAGATAGACATTTGCTACTTGTGGGCTAGGAAAGACCAGGCACAGCCTGCTCCGGGGCACGACGCTTAAGACAGCGCACCTGTCTCGCTTACTCAACAGGTGCTACATTCTTGGGCACTTCATTTCATTCTGCTCAGTAGTCACATAAAAGAGAAGATAGACATTTGCTACTTGTGGGCTAGGAAAGACCAGGCACAGCCTGCTCCGGGGCACGACGCTTAGGCTTTCGGATGAACCCAAGCAGGATGCCCAGCCGAAAATGAAGCGGCTAGCCCGAGAAATGGCAGCCTATCATTTCCGTTTATGTAAATTCTTGGTATACTGTGGCGCCAGGAAGTCCAAGGAGCGCCAATATTTCAGGAATGCATCTGAAGACCACCGACCTGTTGCCTTCACAACGTGCGGAGGTACTCCTCGAAGCAAAAGCTCTGTAGTACCTCCAATCCTAAAGCTGTGCCCTGTAAGCCTTGGGTAGCCCGCTTCGCCCCAGATTTCATTGCATCGAGCCAAGAAGGCATTTCGCGTCAACGGGGAGTGGGAAATTGCGGTGCCATAAGCAAAGATGTGGCATTCGGATGGCAATGAATTTGCAATCAAGTGCATCTGGACTGCGCGAATCGGATTGATCTGCGCTTGCTGATCCGTCAATATGACATCTTCTCCGTGTCGTTTCGTTTTGGTTCGTGGCAAATGAAGCTTTGCCGACTGCCGTATTCCTGAGTAAGAGAAATCTTTTCTTTTCGGTTTGAATTGCAAATCAGCGGATTTTCGCGAATTAGGGAGGAGTTCGCCAAGGCGACACTGCCCCCAGAAGGCTGTGCAAGCGACCGCAAACACTGCGACATCGAAGCCCGATGAGAAATCAAGCCCGCTTCGCAAGACCAAGAGCATGTCTGCTGTAATTGGCGGCCTTGGAGGCTTGTTTGACGTATTGGGGGAGAGTGCATCGACTCCCGACAGGACATAGTGAAGTCGAGACCCTCCTTTCCAGGGTTGTTGCTGTGCGACATGCCAAGCCTTTAATGCCGCTATGTCATTCCGCGCAGTTGAGCCTGCGTGGAGCCCAGCATGTGACGCCGCGTAAGCCGATAGCACAAATTCATGTGTCGGGAGGCGCAGCTGCTGTGGGATAGCCTCTGTGTCACAAAATTTTAGAAATCTCTTCATAGCTGAGCCATAGTTTGCCAGTGTCTTGCTCTGCCAGCCGCTTTGGAATGCCAGATCCAACTTTTTTCGAGTTTTCCCCGACAGTAGAATCGGATCGGCTTGCATTGGAGCACCCGGTACCACACGGAAGATCTCTGGTACCTCCTTCCCTGAGGCCGCTACTGCTTCGGAATTCAATTTGGGTGGCAGTTTTGTGCCTCTCTGATGTTTCGTTGTGTTCTGTTTCGACTGCGCGAGAAGTAGTTGTACAAGAGCATGTGTTTCGCGCAGCGCGGAGGGAATCTTGTGTGAGCGGCGTGGTGGAGTCATCAGTGTCGGTGGCAGGAATGCTCCGAGCCGAGCCTAATTGGCAAACAATGACAAATTTATGCAAATAAGTAATATTCAATCCAGAGCAACAAGTGATGAAAGACAATAAGGAATTTTGAAAGAAGAGCGGGCTCGGGTGAAGCCCTGTAGTGATAGAGGTAATCCGCGCGAAGGGGCCATCTGCCAGGTTTTCGGCCGACGGCACATAAGTCGTCGTCATCCAAATCGAATGTGTCCGAAGAAGGGAGACGATCCGTCTCAGGACGCGATTTTGCTCTGAATTCCTAGACTTACCGGCGTCAAGAGCACCGATCACACCTTCGTTATCTGACCGAACAAGGAAATGAGTAGTGTGGTGCCCTCGATGGATTGCCAGGAGTAGCCCGAACTCGATAGCGACCATTTCTGCCCAGCCGATCTTCCGGTTGTTGTCGTCCCAGCCGCGTTGCAATCGCCAAGAGAGCCAAACAGTGTCAAACACGACTCCGATGCCCCAAGACGTCGAAGCATCCACCCAAAAAGGGATCGCTGACAGCCGAGGTGGGCGAATGAGTTTCAATCCAGAGAACTGTCGGCGCAGAGTCTCTCGCCACCATTCGATGTCGGCTAGAACTGTGGCGTTGGGTGTTCGCCTGGAAAATGCAGATGACGAATGTGAGAAGGATGAGGCGAATGCCGAAATTGCCGGAAGTCGGGATCGACCATCAGGCACCGCCATGGTGCAGTGCACGAGCGTTCCATGAACGGAGTCAACCTCTGTCCTCGAGAACTTTGCACCTTTAACCCATGGCGTGAGTTTGTTCAGATAGCGCAACTTCTTCGACTCTGGGATTTCGACCGTCTTCGCCATTAAGTCCCATCTGAAGCCAATGTATTTGAAGGTTGCATCAAAAGGGACAGTCTTGGACAACTTCCAGGGCCATCCGAAAGGCTCGGTAAATGCATAGATGTCGGCAATGTCGTATGAATAGGAGTATGGCGGTGCAGCCTCAGAGGAGTATCGAAAGAAACAGAAGTCATCAACCCACTTTTTTACGGGTCCTAATGCGTTATGCACTAGGAGCGCTGCCATAGCATCTGCAAGATGGCCAAAGATGCCCGGGGAACTTGAAGGTCCGAACGGCGCGCAATGGTCAATATAAACCTTATTTCTCCACCATATTACGAAGAATGGCTGCTGAGTTGGATGAATGGGCACTCTGCGGAACGCGGCATCAACATCCAGTGTTGCCGCTTGTGTACCGGGCGGGGCGTTCATCACCATCAACAGCATCTCGGAGAACGTTCCCCATTCGCACGGAAAATCGTCGGAGTCGATACCGGAGTTAATCGAAGGGCGATCATCGTCATCGTAGTGGCGGATGGTCCAAGACTTTTCATATATCTGTCTCACCAGCTTTGGGAACCACCCCCAGCGGGGAGGATTGAAACGGTCCAATGATGCGCTCAAGACGTCCTGCGTCGAATGGGCCAGAGTAGCGTCGAGCTGAAAGCTCGGTATGAATGTATTCATCGATTACAGAGGGATGTTCATTAGCGGAGCGTCGATTAGGAGGCAAGAAAGATTCGGAAATGGAAGTGTGAATACCGAAATGAAACCCGTCTTGCAGGCAGATAGGGATGTCGAAGAAACGATCGAGAAGATTAGCGGCGCGCAGCGCCGCCTCCCAGTGATGAGGTATCAGAGGCGTGACCACTGGTAGGAAGTCAGACGACCCGGCAGCTCTGGGCGCAATGGTCTTCGGACCCGCAGAGCGAACACGCGTGTTTACCGAGATTGCACGACTGGACTCCGGGGGAGCAGCCTTTCTGGCCATTGAAATTGAAGCAATAGCGTTGGCCATGCTTGTCGAGGCGGTTACCGGAGCGGCGGTCGAATCCGAGAAAGGTTTCTCCACCCCGCTGCGTTCTCGTTTGAGTACATTCACTTGTACGGTGACCGGGCTCGCGAGATCCGCATTTGAAGCAACGAAATCGAGGGCGAAAGGAAGATGAGGGAGGCGGAGAGGACGAGCGACGCTCTGTCCCTCGTATAGATCGACTGGGACGTCCGACAGACGAACGAAACTCGTTCGAAGGTCCCTGCGAGGAGAAGGCACTGCCGCGGCGATCAGGGACCCCGCCATAGAGCTTTTGAAATTCGCCTTTGACGCTGTTCTTTGCCTCCTTTGCCGTGTGTTTGACGGTCTCGCTGTCCCAGACCTTCCGTTGCCAGGTGCCAAAGTCGAATTTTGCCGTTGCCCACAACCGGCGAAGCTCGGCATCGTACGCGACGAGGATGGGCCAATTTTCCTCGTGGTTCTGGTAGTCGAGAATAGCGTTGTAGTGGATGCGCAGCCGCGGAAGGACTTCACTCCAAATGGGAATGGTAGCCATGAGTGCAAACAAACGACGGTATGCCTGATGCCAGCGCGAGAGTGACAATTGTTTGTCGGCCTCAAAGGACAGCTCTCGGTTGATACTGACGAGACTGTCGCCCTCCACAATGAGCCGACGATCCAAGTCGTTTGCCGCGTGACTAGCGCCGCGCAGACAATAGTCGTCCGTTAGGTAGCAGAGGGGCGGAATTTCACCGCGCTTGATGCGCTTGACGAGCGCCGGAGGGGGTGGGTATGAAACAGACCCCACTTGCGTCCCAATTTCGAATTCGACAGGCAGCGTGGTGGATTCCGGCTTGTCTTGTGGCGCAGAGAGAGTAGAACCCCAATCTGGGTATCGCAATCAGATGATAGAGAAGGGAGAGGAGGAGCGACAAGATAGAGGAGCGATCTGTCTCGATTTCGGACAGGGACCCGTGCGAATGCAAAGGGGTATCGCGGTTGTGTAGAACTCATGCGATTGCAGAGGAGTATCGTGGAGGACGGTGACAAGCGAATGAGGTCGCGGAGGAGAGTGAGATTTGAGAAGAAGCGGGAGAACACACCTTTGCTGTACATCTGACCAAGTAGCGAATTGAGCTTGGCCTTCAGGCGTACCTGGGGATCCCATGCATCAAATGGTTGTCAAGAGAGACATGCCATGATGAATCAAGCTCTCTACCAGAGACCGGCTGAGATGCATCATGACAAGTCTCTCAGGCAAGCGGGGCAGCCCCCCACACTGTCTTCTTGCAGCCGCACGCCGCCGCCTTACCGCCTGCCCGCCCCCGCTTCCCGCCCCTACACTAGGCGTACGTCATTACTTGTGGCCCTGGTGACCATCTATGTGTGACACATCGGACCGCCAGCCCGATCGCTTGGCACTTTGCCCGGCTAGGCTCAGCACTCAGGCTTCCCGCGGCCCGCCGCCTTGCCCGCCGCCGCCTTGCCCTTTGCTTCCCGCCTCCCGCTCGGCGCTCATACGATTTGCCCCGCGTGTCGCTCATGCCGCCTGTTTCGGCTGTGTGCTCCCAACCATGATTCTTCGTGGCTAACAGTTTATCAGTAGCTGATTAGGCACAATATTGCATGGGTCGGGGTGGGACGCAGGGTGGGATGCGGGCGGACATGCGGGGCGGGATGCGGGGGCATAGCCGCTTGTCAATGTGCCAACGGCTATTCTGCTTGGGGTTGATCGGCGTGTATATGACGTCGATCGATTGTGGGACCAGAATATCGGGGCACGACAAACCGCCAATAATGACTTCTAGTGACCCAAATGTGTGAGGATATTTATACTATCAGTGTCTCGTAGTCAGCCCCCGCCTATGTACAAGTTTCTGAAGAAAAATCTTACAGTTTTGTTAAAACTTGTATATTGCGGAAGTATAGGTGTGTACCTATACTAAATTTCCACTACTATCCTAGAACTTTATGGTATTATTGCCAATTACCACTAATCGTGCTCCGGCCACGTCTGCACAACCTCTGGGGACGTAAACCAACCTACTCGGGGCCTCCCGGCGCTCTGCAGCGGGCCAAAACGGCCGTCCTCACCGTTGACGGCGTTCTCCACGAAATCGGTGAGCGCCGGGCCCATTTCTCGATCTTTCTGGCTGAAACTTCGAGCGCAGGTAGCGTTGACATAGCGCTCGAGCTCCCGAGAAACGAGCCAGGGGTTGCCCCTGCGCGCAACGGAAACTGCCAGGGCAGGTGTCGGCGAGGCCCGGGGCCACGAGGCTGAATCCTTGCCCGTTTCGCCTGGGATTTCCAGGGATACAACGGGACGTGTGCCGCTCCCCTCCTTAAAATTCCCAGGCGGAATGGGCCAGCGGCTGGCTCTGCGCGACCCTCTCGCTGATTTGCCAGGCGACCGGCGTTCCGGCCCGGCGGCAAGTGTGTAGCAGGTATATGAGTGGTGGACAAGATTGAGAGGCTGGGACGAGCGGGGGGGCGAGCCACAGGACGGTACAGGTCTACATTGAGGCAAGACGCAAGGCGGAGGGCCCGGGAGCACGCCGGCAGCTCGCCGGAGCACGCCGGATGGTCCCCGAAGGTGCGCAGAAACGCTGGGGTGGCACGCAATTGGCTGTGGGGTATGCGGGTGAGGAGGATAGACCTGCAGTTGATCCGCTGGGCCACGGACGCTGAGCAGCGGGCGCCCGAGCCGGGGGGGTTGGATATATATAACGGCGGGTTATGGAAGCCTGAGCCCCAGGAAGGGAAACGGAGCTGCAGCTTCTCTCCGAGCAGCCTGAAGCGCCCGCTGACGAGTATGCAGGGGCTTACAGGTGGGAGCACCGAGGGCAGCCCGGCGCCATTTTGGAGCAGAACCCGGGAGACTGCTGGATATACTGGCTGGAATCCAGCTGCCCGATTGCTGTGAAAGTCGGAGGTCCCACCCATATAATTGAGGACGTCTTGTATGTCCAATTCAGCATCAATTCGCCTGCTGGATGGTTGCCTGTGGGTTGCTTTAGCTATGCTACAAGTCGAAAAAATGCCAGAAGACACGGTTTTGAGCACATGTTTTGAAAAAATAAGTGGCATTCGTTCATCAGCGCCATTGGCCCGACGTACCCTAATATTTTCAGATTTCTTGGGAATTATTTGAGAATGCCTCTGCTCGCTGTCGAGGATGACGACAAGAAGCATTGATTGCTGTGATGGACGTCGTCAGTGAAGCGGCAACCAGCACGTCACGCTATCATGACATGCTGATGTGATTGGACTCACCGACGGAGGCAGAGACACATTGATGCATAAAAGCCAGGTCAGAGCTAGAGGCCTTCATTCATCATTCCATGTCTCTGGTGACAGCCATTGATGCATCGAAACCCCAGGTTGGGTACTGGCCTTGGGCAAACTTGCTAGGAGAGCTATTGTGCCATCCTGTTCGTCGTCTTCTGGGGTTGCTGTGCGATGGTTTGGTGCTCGTCGTCGCGGAGGCGGAGGCGGGGACTCCAATTCCTCATCTGAGTCAGAATCCGGGCTGTTTTCTTCAAGCAGTGCAGCGAACATTGCCTCTCGCTCTCTCTGAGGGATGAGTCGGGCCCATTGGGGACGAGAGAGAATGAGGTCTTCGTTAGAGTCGATGAAATCCCCAAAGAGGCGACGGAGGATGTCTCGAGAGGCATTTGGCGGAGGATTTAGGTCGAAATATTGAGCAGCGACGAGAAGCTGAGGTTTATCAAGTGACTTCAAGGTTTTGTCGAAGGTTGGAATGATCGCCATTGCAACTGAGCGTCTCTGCTGAGCGTCTCCAAGTCGTGTCGTGGGAGGTGATGTGGCTGGCAAGAGACAAGTCGTGTCGCACAGCCACATCACTCCACTCCGCCCAAGACAGCGCACCTGTCTCGCTTACTCAACAGGTGCTACATTTGGCTCCTCCCGTCATGCCCACTCTCGCACAAGCGCTCAAACTCAACGCTGCATTTGCATCCAAGCCCGCTCGCCTCAAACCCAGCGCGCTCTTTGTCGGGGGCACCTCTGCCATCGGCCAAGCGCTGGCCGAGCGGCTTGCCCACCATACTCAGTGCAATGCCCATATCCTCCTCGCAGGCGCAACGCTGACGCTGCGCGAGTCACTATCGACTCGTTCCCCAAAGTCGCCAACCACCATCACGAGTTCCTCCCCTACGACTTGTTGCTCATGGGCAACGTTCGTCACGCGTGCTCTACACTGCTTGCGCGGCAGCACACCTCCCCCGCCTGAACTTCCTCGTGCTCTCCCCGGGATTTTTTTACCGTGTTCGGCAGCCGCGACCCCACGGCCGAGGGCATCGATAACAATGCTGCTGTGGCCGGCGAGCCAGCGCATGTCTACTCGGTGCTTGGTGCGGGGGAGGGGCAGCAGCATTGACTGGGTTGATCTCGGGCTGAAGCAGCGTTATGGTGCGGTGAAAGCCGCCACGGCGGCGGCGACGTATACCGACTTGGCGATGCAGGTGGGTTGTTATCAGTAGTATTCGTGGGAGCCCACATACTGATCTGGTCTTGTCCGCACCCCGATGATGCTCCCAAAGACGTGGCCACTTCAGCCCTTTGTGCCGCTCATTTCCATAGCGTCGAGGCCGTTGATGACGACATGACGATATGCCGGTGCCCCTTCGACCAGTGGTCCTGTGGTCTGGGAATAACCCTGCAACTTGATGCAGAGCGTCGAAACGCTGTGGGAGCACTGCACGTTGGACAGCGCAGGTGGTCGGGCGCTTGGTCGGGCCAGAGGATTGGAGGTGCGTCTGAATCACTTAAGGTCTATTGACACGGACGGTTGTTTACAGCTGACGTAGTATATTCCGAGTACTATGTATATTGAACACAACACACACAAAAACAAATTGAACACACCTTTACAAGCTGAACACAAGCTTGGCATCAAGCACAACAGTTGTGCGGGGCTGCCAACATTTGTGTCCAATGTGTGCGACAACGGAGTTACCATATTGGGATGAAGGTGACGGAATGTGAGGCTGCCGTCACCACCCTCGGCTGCGCTTTTCTTTTCCGCAAACCCCCACCACGACGCGCCGTCGATGCACCCGCCTCACTCGTCCCCCGGCTCAATGCCGCCAACGCGATCCCCAGAAGACAACGCGCTCATCGCATATCTGCCAGCCGTAACACTCGACCATCTTCGCGACAGCGTGAGTTTTCTCCCACCTCGGACCGCGACGCGTCTTCGCCGTGGCTTCGACGCGTTTTTAGTGGCTCATGCTAATGACATTGGACAGATCTATCGAGAAGCATACGTACTCGCTCACACCGGCGACTTCCATGCCAACCGAGACTGGGTCTCCCCGGAAGCTCTTCGCGCTCGCCTTGAGGACCGCGGGCCAGCAAGCAGTGCTCCATGCATCCAAACACCACTCATACGGTCCACGGAGGATGATCTCCTCATCAAATACTTGCCAAAGCGCACATTGGAGCTGTTTCGTGCTAGTGTGCGTCGTTGTCCTTATTTCATTTGCTTAAGACTCAATATAAAGTCAGGTCTACCAAGACGAGTATATTTCGACAAATACAGCTCTCTTTGACGCAAACAACGACTGGATAAACCCTTCCCACCTTCGCGCTTGGCTCGAAAAGCCAGATTCGACTCTGCCCGGACCGGCTTCCGAGCACCAGGTCAAGACCGAGCCTGTCGAGAATCAGATGGAGGATTGTCTTCAGCAGCCGCGCTCGCTGTTTCGGGTGACGAGAGAAGGAGATAAGGAGGTTCTTGAGATTGAGTCGGACTCGGATGACGGTGAGTCTTGCTCAGTTCTCCGTTGGAGTCCATGCTCATTCTTGTTGCCTCAGACACTGCTCCCTTGCCCAAAAGCACTCGGTCTACACCTTCGCCCCCGCCCAACAGTGATGGAAATAGACGACGACGAAGATGAGAACCGTCAAGCGACGCTTCCATTGGATTCTCGATATCTAATGGAGCTTTCGGAAGGTGAGTCGTCAAGTATAACTCAAGTCTATTGTATCGATAACGATTTATAGACTATTGAAAGCTCGTATCGGAGCACGACTACTTGCGACTTCACCAACTTTGTACAGGAGCTCGGGGTAGAGAAAATCCAAGGTTCGCTTGTCTGTTGCTCGAATCATTCAATGCTTATGCCGCGCAGACTGGTGGGACCACAAGGAGATGAGCGCGTGGATTTTACCATGTCTCGTCGAGTCCTTGTCGCCGCTGACCTCAGACGAATGGAAGTCGACTCCAGACACCACAAACGCTGGCGAATCCCAGCACCACTGGACAAATACCCACACGGGAATCAAGTTATCACCCGTTGAGGCGATACATCGGTCAGTTCATGTGCTCCTCCCTACCCGCAATGACCTTATTTTCCTACTTCCATTAGCGCAAAGATTCTAGATCTCCGTGTTTGGGCGGATGTACAAGTTGCGAACACCACTGGTGCTCTTTCAAACCCTAATAACACTTCTTTCCACCGAAAATCTTGTGCTCTCTAGCGAGATACCGCAAAAACGACGAGACGACGAGAGACCCGAGAGCGGGAGGCTGAGGCGGGTCGCCTGAGGCGGGTCGTCTGGAGGACGAGCTGGCTGAGCTGAAGAGACAGCAAAAGGAGCTTGCTGAACAAGCGAAGGAGTTGAAAGCGCAGAAGAAGGAAGTAAAGGGTAGCCGAGTAAGCCGGACCAAGCACGGAGCTGCAAACGACAGCTCTTGCGGCCGTGTCAAAGCTCGTCGCGCAGGTATGTCTCATTATCTTGTCCACTGACACCGCTGACGACGCAATAAACCAGCTACTGTACTATTTCATTCAATTCTGCGGGCCTGTGACCTGTGATACATGAGGCAGAAATGTGCAATTCAGCCAAGGGGTGAATTCGGTGTGACCTCCTGCCTTATACGGAAGTTCTGCGCGCCCGTAGGTGCGGAAATTTTTAAGAAATTACCATTTTGGGACGGTTTAGGGCCAAAGAAACTCGCTGTGACCTGTGACAGGCAGAAAATTTTCGGCCAAAAAAGTCAATGTGACCGTGACAGGACTAATTGATTGAAATAGTACAGTATTTCGAGCTCGCCATTACGGGAAGAGGTCAACTATGAGCTGGAATCGCTCACACACACTGTAAGGGCAACCCCGGAGGCCTGAGATCAAGGTCCTAGCAGGGGAGGATCCAAAGAGTGAATAGAAGTAAGCAAATACAAGTGAGGCTGACCTAGCAGGGGAGGATCCAAAGAGAATAGAAGTAAGCAAATACAAGTGAGGCTGACCTAGCAGGGGAGGATCCAAAGAGAAGAAACTCTAAGGGTCCGCCTGCTAGGTAGCGGAACTATATACTGCGCTCTTGACGCGCCAAGGTTGATCGTTGCTCCGTGCAGTATGCCTGCGCCATGTCGCAGGCCAGGTCCCAGGGGGATCGCCAGGCGGGGACGGCGATGCGCCTGACGGAGGCGGTGATGCGATCACCGGAGTCGGAGCCGGAGTCGGACCGGAATCGGAATCGTCTCCGAGGGGCCGAAAGGGAGGTTCCCCTGACATCACCCCCCCCTTTGAATGCGGCGTCCCGACGCAGAGACCGGAATGGAATCGAGTCGAAGGTTGCAGAGGCGATGTGCCGTGGTTTGCCAGGGTACTTACGATAGAACTCCACGATTTTCTCCGGGGCGAAGACGCGGTCGAAGCGGACCCACTGGTCATGCGACGCGTCGTAGCCTTTCCATCTGACGAAGTAATTCAGCCGTTTATACCTCACCCTTGCGTCCAGGATTTCCTCTACTTCCCACTCCGGGACTCCGTCCTCGAGGTCCGGAGGGGCTGGTCGTAGCCGGGGCGTCCGTCGAAGGGGGTCGTCTTGGGCGAGCTCGAGCTTGACGACGGGGAAGACCGGGTGGAGCTTCGAGTAGCGCGGAGGGAGGTCGAGCTTGTAGGCACCTTTGCTGATCTCCGCGACTATCTTGAACGGTCCGAGGCGGCGGTGGGAGAACTTCTCCGAGGGGCGAGTCGTCCTGATGTCAGAGGCATCCAGCCAAACACGGTTGCCAACCTTAAACTCCGGAGACGGAGTGTGTCTCCGGTCGTAGTAGCGCTTGTACTCCTCTTTGGCCTTAGTGAGCACGGCCTTGGCTTCGGCAACACCAGTGGCGATCCGGTCGCGGAACTCGTTCACCGACTTCATAGCGGAGCGGACTCCGGGTTCAAAGCCCATGCGCGGGAGCCATCCCGTGTCCGTCATAAAGGGGACCTGCTGCATGGAGGAGTGAACATGGTTGTTGTACGGCGAACTCCGCGGCCGGAATCAGCTCATCCCAGTCGTCCTGCTGATAGTTGGTAAAGATCCGCAGGTACTGCTCCAGCTCCTGGTTGACGCGCTCTGTTTGACCGTCTGTCTGCCGGGTGGTACGCGGTGGACGTGGCAGGCTTGATGCCGATTAGACGCCAGAGTTCTCGGGTGAAGTCCGCGATGAACTGCGAGCCGCGGTCGGAGACGTACTTCTCCGGAATCCCGTGATGGCGCCAGACATTCCGGTAGTAGAGGCGAGCCGCCCCTACTGCGTCGACCGTGGTGTGACACTCCGAGAAGTGGGCACGCTTCCCAAGGGTGTCGACGACGACCATGATCGCGTCGTACCCATGGGCCTCCGGAAGCTCGACGATGAAGTCGACGGAGACGGTATGCCAACGCTCTGGGGCGGTTTCCGTCGGGTGCAGCTCTCCGTGGGGCAGTCTCCGGAGTGCTTTGGTGCGACAGCACAAGTCACAGGTCGCGACGTACCGGCCAATATGGCGAGACATCTGAGGCCACCAGTAGTTCCGGGAGACCAACTCCAAGGTCTTGAAGCGACCAGCGTGTCCGGCAACTCGAGTGTCGTGGCAGAGCTCGATGATGCGTCTCCGGAGGTCCTTATCCTTAGGTACGACAATCTTCCCACGAAAGTGAAGAAGACCACCGGAGACAGCCCACTCGTCGGAGCGCGAGGAGCGGGGGCCTCGAGCTTGACCTTGGACCTTTAGGAGTTGCCGGGCCGCTAGTGCGACGGGCTCCTCCAGGTCAGGCTCACCGGAGAGGGCATCGCGGATGTCGCGAAGGAGTTCAGAACCAGGGCCGGAAACGGAAACGCCTTCGAGGCGCGGACATGGAAGAGTTCGGGCCGCAGAAGGACGACGTCGGAGCTGTCGGAATCGATTCCGTGGTCTGGTCTCCGAGAGAGGGCGTCAGGTCGGCCCATGTCGCGGCCGGGCTTGTGGTGCAGCGTGAAGTCGAACCGGGAGAGGTAGAGGGACCAGCGGGCCTGTCTCCGGTTGAGGTGCTGCGTCTTCCTGAAGTACTCCAGATTCTTATGGTCAGTCCAAATCTCGACGGGATGCGCGGCGCCCCGAGGAAGTGTCTATACTCCTCGAGTGCGCGGATGATCGCGAGCATCTCCCTTGTCGTGGATTTCGTAGTTGCGCTGGACATCATTTAAGCTTTTGGAATAGAATGCTACAGGGTGCCACTTCCCGTCCGGGGCGGATTGTGAAAGAACCGCCCCGTCGCATAATCAGAGCTGTCCGCCTCAAGTCGGAAAGGCCGTGCGTCGTTCGGAATCGCCAGGACCGGTTCCGAGGTGACTGCGTCCTTGATCGCTTGGAACGCGGAGGCCTCCGCGTCGCCCCAAGTCCACTGCTGGTCCTTCTTAGTGAGCACGAAGAGAGGGCGCGCGAGGGTCGAGAAGTCCCGAATGAACCTGCGGTAGAAATTAGCGAACCCAAGGAACTGCTGAATGTCCTTCTTGTTTTCCGGAGTCGGCCAAGCGGAGACGCCTGCGACTTTGACGGGGTCCATTTCGACGTGGTTGTGGGAGATGATGACTCCGAGGTACTCGATTGACGATTTTTCAAAGTCGCACTTCTCCGCTCGGAGGTACAACTTGTGCTCTCGGAGTCGCCGCAAGACCTCCTGAACGATCTGCCGGTGTTTCCGGAGGTCGGAATGGGCGATCAGGATGTCGTCAAGGTAGATCATGACGTCTCCGGAGAGGATGAGGTCCTGGAAAATGTCATTCATCATCGTTTGGAACGTCGCGGGAGAGTTTGTCAGGCCGAAATACATCACCAAGGGCTCAAACAGGCCTCGGTTAGTCCGGAAAGCCGCTTTCCACTCGTCACCTTCCTTGATCCGGACGTTGTTGAAGCCCCAACGGACGTCGAGTTTGGTGAAGTAACGAGCGCCTTTGAGCCGGTTGATGAGGTCGTTGATCAGCGGAAGGGGGTACCGGTTTTTGACAGTCATCGCATTGAGAGCACGGTAGTCCTGGACGAAGCGGAGTCCGCCGTCCTTCTTCTTGACGAAGAAGACCGGAGACGCCATCGGAGACTTGGAGGGGCGAATCCGGCCCGTCGAAAGCCCTTCCTCGATGAACGCGTCGAGCTCGCGTTGCTCGAGGGGCGAGATGGGGTACACCTTGCAGTTGGTGGGCTTAGCGTCGGGGACGAGTTCAATGGCGTGGTCCCAGGCTCGAAAGGGAGGTTCCCCTGACACACACACTCGTCATTCGCTGGCTTCTCAAGTCCCTCGACAGAGCCGTTCCCATCTGCCGACATGTTTCCAGACGTGTACTCTGGGCCCATGATGCCAGCGACACTGTCTCCCGGGCCCCATTTTCTCCCTTTCGTCGAAAGCCCAACACTGTTTCAGCAAGACTATTTCATTCCCCAATCCGAATCTACCACCAACGTATTCCAGCCTCGCTCTGTTGCTCCACTGAGCGATGCTGAGTGGGACGCGTTCCTTGGCAATATCGGCCTACAATCATCATCGGCAGCAGAAGATAACGTACCTATGCCTACTGCAACGGAAACATTCACCGCGGGTTACTCTAACGCCAATTTTAACCAACCCCAATACGCTCCGCTTGACTTCTATCAACCACACCCACAGCCTGTCGACTATCGTCTACCCAGCTACCCCAGTCCAAGCCCCCCTGTCATGGGTGATCCCGACTCTCCGACGCACGGCCAGAAGCGCAAGGCTCTTAAGGACTCGGTGGACGATGGGCAAGAGGCGCCGAGCACTGAAGAGATGCCGACGGGGAAGCGAGTGCGGCCAGACCGGACACGGAATGCTCCGGCCCGCGCGGATGCTGACTGGGCTTCTCCAAAGCCCAAGTCAAAGAAGGGTAAGGCAGCCACGAGAAAATCCCGATAGATACATAGGTACTTAGAAGAAATACACGCAATGGTCTCATTTTGATGGAGTGATCTGCGATCAAATGTGTCGCACTTGATTCAATGGTTACACAAAGTAGTGTCTAAGGTGTACTTAGTTGTGTTCAATCTATGCAGCTTTGTGTTCAAGGTTTGGGGATTGTGTTCATGTTATGACAATGTGTTCAATCTGATATTGTGTGTGTCGTGTTCAAACTTCAAGGTGGTAGGTCCCGGTATATTCCGGCCCCTCGGGCTGATCCACGTCTCTCCTGATTCGCCTGCAGTCACTCCCACCATCTCAATTCTCCTTCAGGGGAGACACGACTCCTCCTCCTCGAGGTCCGTCAAAGCGGGGCCTAATCTTCGCGATCGACGCCTCCAAACTACTAATAACGCTGGTGCCTGTCGCCCGAGCCCTTGCCGCGATGCGTGTCTCCCTCGTCCTCCTCGCTCTGTCTTGCTCCGAGCGCAGCGCTGCTGCCCGCGCGTTCGCCCCGCGCGCCTCTCCTGGCCCGGCCGACCCAGTCCCGGCATACACCCCGCGCTTCCACTGCCCAGCCCAGGTCGAGTTCCACCTCTGGGCAAACATCGTCCCAGACGACAGAACCGCTGGCACGCTGTACTGCACGCACCCCGACGGCACGCCGCAGTGCGTGTACGAGCTCATACGTCCCTCCCTGCGCTTGAACTGCCCACTTATTTCTTTCCCAGGCCGGCGGTGCGCTCATCGCAGAAGACTCCACCGCCTCCTGCGCCCGGGACTACCCGGCGGCGCGCCCCGGCCCGCCTCCCGGGGAGCACGGGCCTGACGGCAGCTGCTCGTACGCGTGCCCAGCGCGCGACGCGTTCGGCGCGCCGATCAACGAGATGCGCATCGAGCCCGGCGAAAAACAAACCTACTTTGCTGAGCGCGCTTGGCCGTCACCTTCGTTGGGCGTTGGGTTCGGGGAGCCTGCGTCGACATCGTGGGGTAAGGGAAAAAAAGAGGAAGGCTGTGACCGTACCATGTGAATCATCCAGTCGCCATGGATGCGATGACGATCTTCATATGGATGTGGCCAAGACTTCGGTGTATCGTCCCGTTGTCCATTCCTTCCCCCCAGCGATGCCCAGGTGTGGTTTCTGCAAGGCACAAATTGCAACGAAGCCCGGCCTGGCTTTGCACCAGACGCAAAACAAGCGATGTCTGTCGATTCAAGAACGACATTTTCAGCAGGACAAAAACCATGGTTTTGACGACTTACCTGGGCTGGATCCCAATATCGAGGAACCGATGGATGTCGACTCCATCCCGGAGCAGGAGTCCCTTTCCGACAGGGAGGAGCCTCCACTACGCCGTCCTCGAATGGAAGACGTGCCAGATGACACTACAAATGATCCAATATCGAGTTACGACCCACGATATCTTCACCGCCAACAGTACCCATCCGAGCACAAGGCAGGCAGAGGTCAATGGTACGAGGGGACACCGTTTGAAGAATGGTATGAGGGGAAGCTGAGTTCTGGTGAGCAGGCCTGCTCACCATTTCCATCTCTTGAAGATTGGGACATTGGTCGTTGGCTGATTCGGTCCGGCCTATCGCAAGGCAGTATTGACGAGTTTCTGCACTTGAAAAAAGCAAGTGAATAATCGTCCCAATGGAATATAAAGATTCTGACCGTGTCAGGTCCGCGACAAGCTTGCCCTGCCTTTTGGGACGAGTCGAGCATTCTTGAAACATGTTGATTCGCTGCCCGTGGGCCCAGCTTGAATGTGTACGCCAATGACAGTCAAGGGAGACGAGTTGGATGGCGATGGAAGAGCGAAGGTTGAGGTGTTAGAGCTTTGGCATCGGGACCCGCTAGAATGTATCGCAGAATTGCTGGGGAACCCAAATTTCAAAAAGGAGCAGACATTCAAGCCCATGCGTCTATTTCGGACGCGGGACCAGTCGACGGGAGAGTTGGGCAATCGGGAGTATGACGAAATGTGGACGGGAACTTGGTGGTGGGATACACAGGTGAGTAACAACCCACAAGAAAGACGACGAGACTCACCCGGGATATAGGATCTTCTCGATGATGGCGCAACTATTGTGCCCGTAATCCTCTCTTCAGACAAGACCCAGCTTTCGTCCTTCGCGGGCGACAAGCAAGCATGGCCGGTGTACATTTCGATTGGGAACATCAGCAAATCTATTCGTCGTCAGCCTAATTCGCGAGCGACAGTGCTTCTGGGGTACATACCAGTGCCAAAACTCGATTGCTACTCCAAAGGCGCTCGCAAGATGGCCGCATATCAGGTCTTCCATGATTGCATGTGCAAGATGCTTGATAAGCTGGTGGAGGCGGGTCGAGATGGCGTCGATATTGTCTGTGCAGATGGCTGGGCTCGTTGGTGTTTCCCGCTCCCTGCCGCATACATCGCAGACTACCCGGAGCAGTGTCTGGTTGTCTGCTGCCAGGAGAACTCGTGCCCACGCTGCTCCTGCCCTCCAAAGGAGCGTGGATCAACAACGAACTTCCCCATGCGAAGTCAGGTCGAGACCTTGAAGGTTCTGGAGGAACAGGCGACAGGTCTGAAGCCCAAGGAGTTCAGCGACTTGAATTTACGACCAATCGATCCGTTTTGGGCTGACTTACCCCACTGCGACATTCACTCATGCATAACCCCGGACCTTCTCCACCAGCTTCACAAGGGTGTGTTTGCGGACCATGTCTCAAGTTGGGCAGCAGAGTCGATGGAGGTGACGGAGGAAGAGAGGAAGAAGAAGCTGGACGCGCGTTTCAAGGCGATGCCGCGGCATCCCACGCTCCGTCACTTTGCTAACGGCACCTCCGTGATCAAGCAGTGGACGGGATCCGAGTATCGAGGGTTGGCAAAGACGTTTCTGGGTGCTGTCCATGAGGCGGTCGACGATAGAGTGACTTCCGTCACGCGGCACCTTCTTGATTTCATGGGATATGCACATTTCCAGGTCCACACGGATGAATCGCTTGTCGCTATGCAAGCGGCATGGGAGAAGATGCACCACAATCTCCCAGTCTTTCGCGAGCTCGGACCGGAGCGCAACGACTTCAACATCCCGAAATTGCACAACATTCGTCATTATGTGGACTCTATTCGCTTGCTTGGAATGGCAGACGGCTACAACACGGAAAATACCGAGCGCCTCCATATCGATCTTGCAAAGAATGGCTACCGCGCATCAAATCGATGGGATTACATCCAGCAAATGACGCGCTGGCTCACGCGACAAGAGGCGGCGCACCGTTTCTCGCTGTATCTACAGTGGGCTTGTCCTGGCTATACTCCGGGACATGGCTACGGACCGCCGACAGATGTAGACTAGGATGACCTGGAAAAAGCCGATGAAATAGATCGCGATGCTGATGACGGAGATGAGGAAGACAGTCCGGAAACTATTACTTACAACATTGCTGCTCGGCCCGGCTATCCGAATCTGTCCGCTGCCGAAGTCGAGACACGTTTTCATGTCCGCGACTTCGTGTTTTATCTCCAGAAGTTTCTCGGTGACGAGAACATCATCGTTGAGGGTCCTATCACCTCTGCAACTCGCTTTGGTGCATTCAAGAGAGTTGCTCTCCAGCTGCCGCTCATTCGTGCGGGCGGAGACAGATTGCGAGAATCCCGATGTCGTGCAGGCAATCCTCCCAGTCCAAGGCTCAATATCGAACAAGGGCATTAAGCGTGGCAGTGCAGCCAAGTTCAGCACTTTCCTTGTGCGTGTGAAGCCCAGGGACTGGACAGAGGGTCCTTTGAGCGGTGCGTCCAAGTTGTCCGGGAAAATATTAAGTTACTAAACTAAGTTTTCCTACATCCAGGTCTCCAGGCAGCTCAGGTGAAGCTTATATTCCGTCTTCCCCCAAGCATTTCAAAATACGAGCATCCGCTGGTTTATGTCCACTGGTTCACTCAATTCCGTAACCCTCTAAACGACTTTGACACAGCATCGGGCCTTTCTCGCATCTCCCACTCTACCACCGTTGGTCAACGTCGCGCATCCATCATCTCTCTGGCAGACGTTGTTCAGACATGCCATTTATTCCCGCGGTTCTCCAATGCTACCAATCCAGACTGGAACTCATCCGACATTCTGAATCAAGCCACTGTCTTTTATCTCAATCCTTACTTGCGGCACCGTGACTTTTTCTTCTTTCGCTACAGCATGTACCTTATATCTGAGTATCACAAGCGCAAGGATGCAGAGCTTGCTGCTACGCTTGCACGGGGGGCCAACCGAATCAATTATTAATCTTTAATACCCTTTCATCCATTTCATCTCTGATTGCTCTAACTGGAATGATAGTAAGGATAGCTAAGTATTCCGGTATGTACCAACACATATTTCTTACTGCGACAGTCGTAGTGCTATGAAATACTATGAGATCATATGTCATGGTTATGGGTGTGCTACGAGAGCTATGAAACAGGACATATCATTGGCATGTGTTTCTGTTGCCAAATCCGTGCTTCCTGATGTACAGAAAGGAGCAGGAACACAGGGAGAGAGATCACAATGAAATACTCAACTAAGCCCACTACCGGATATGGATGCTGACTAAGCGCCACGATCACGTGAGAACCGTGACGAGGCTCGTCACTGGTGACATGGTATGGGCAGTATACTGTATCATAAGTATTTCACAACTTTCAACTTTTTTTCTGCCCTTTTTTGAATACAACTTTGATTTATCACTCTCAACATGTTTCAATAAAGAACAACTTCCAGAGTAATGAAAACAACTTTCTTAGTACACTTGCAACCTACCGATTTTTGTGAGTTGTTAGCTGCATCTTTTATTTTTATCACTGCAACTTCAACTTTTCTTGGCTAGCAACTTTTGTCTACTGTAACTACAACTTCGAATATGTTGACTACAAGATCATAAGTTACTAAAAGAAAGTTACAAGTTGCAGATGTCAAGTTACAAGTTGTATATGCTAAGTTACACATTGCAAGTTGCATGTTAAAAGTTGCAATAAGTATGTCCAGGTTGCAGCATGTTCCTGTAAGCTTGCTGATGAGAGAGGAATAGTTGTTAGCCATGAAGTTGTGCATGAAAAGTTGCAAGTTGCACCAAAAAAACAAATTGTATTATTAAATTCAGGTAAAACCAAAGTTGTACCTAAATTTTGACTGTTTTTACAGCAAGTTGTTGTAAAACTTTTGATACAATATACCTTCCATAACATGGTTATACTTGATGACAACTTTCCTAGAGACATGTTCAACTTCTGCAAGTGCAACTTTCCTGACTGTTGACAACTTATAAGGAGCAGACAACTTTTCCAGCAACATCTTCAACTTTCTTGCTGAGAAGGCCTCACCAACCCAGATAGAAAGGTAGGATTGGCCATAGTAGGCTGAGGAAAAGTAGTAAGGATTGCTAGCTGCCATTGAGGTGAAAAAGAGTAATATGTGGTGCTTACATAAATATATGTGTTAACATCTTTATAGTATTACATTGCCTTCCTTTGTGGTATCTACAAACCATAGTTCCATATAGATTGAATTTTTAGATGTGCTGAAGGCAAATCAATAGGGGAGTTCACGGTAGGCGGGCAAAACTCTGGGCAAGATGCTGGGCAAGTTTTTGAGTAAATAATATTTTATTTCTTGCCCAAAATCTTGCCCAGGGTGTTCACGGTGGCCCCACCGAAGAAATCAGTGGTTATTAGTATTTTGGATGTTGGGCAAGCATTTAATATAATTCTTGCCCAAAACCCGAATAAAAAGCTGCACACCGAATTTCGGTGTTCAGGTTGGGCAAGTCTCAAAAACTATATCCATTTAATTTCTTATTTCTTGCCCAACAGCTTGCCCAGCCTAGCGTGAACTCCCCTAATAGCCTGGATCCTAATTACTAGTTTAAGATTGTAGTTAATGCTCTGCCAATTGTTGGCAGACCCTCTCGCTTAGCCGTTAGTGTATGCTCTGCTGGGCCATTTTTAATTGTCAGTTTTCTCCCTACATCAATGAAAATCACTCACCCAAACTTCCCTCTAAATCAGCTTAATATTCCAAGGTTTTGCTAAATTTTCTATCATTATGACATTTGTCAAAATTTTCCGAAATTTCCGAAAATACCCTTCTACTAATCTAAGTTACATTGCCTTAAGTTGCATTCACAGAGCATTTGAAAGGGCAAAGCAAGCATACAACAATATTAAATTTAATCAACATTATAAGTAATAAGATCCCTCATTGTCGGGTTTGTGTATAACATGCTGTAATTAATTTCTGAGTAGTATATATAAGGAGCTCGATTATAGTGGATAAAAAAGGAGAATCCCACCCCACCTATTTGGAAACCTGGCGGCCCAGCCAGGAAACACTGAGGAGACGGCCGAAATACAGCAAGAGTGTGCTGTATTCGAAGACGATAGCGATGGTACAAGGTAAAGACTCTGGAGAACATGTGATCTATAAGCCCATGATATAAGCCAGCCTTATACTATTACCATATTTGGCAAGGAAGTAAGGTAGCTAGGTCACAAGTGTGACAACCAGGTAAGAAGGTAGTGTTAAAGGAGGAAGGAGGGGGAACGCGGAGAGACCGATATGTCGGCTCGACTCAGACACGGACACGGACACAGATGGACGCGGAAAGCAAGCAGTCAAATTACTATGTATGGAAACTACGGTGTATCGAGGCATACCCATTCACACTCCCACCTGATGAGATGCACCGCAAACAAAAAGATAAACAAAACTCCCACCCAAATGCCAGCTAAATGCGAAGAGGTGCTTGGACTGCCCCACTGCCAGTGTATTGTCCTTCTTCATCGATGTCATTGTCAAAAGAGGCCCTCATTGCAGCAAGTTGCGCCCTGTATACATCGGAATCAGGAGGAGCATCCATTTCTGTATGTACAGCATGTCTGAAAGCCTCGTCGTTAGGATAACTTTCGTAACTGAATGCAAATTTGGCTGAGTGATGACAAGGGGCGCCGTTCATGACGAAGTCCTTGATGTGTTGGGGCATGTCGTGAATGCAGCGCGCAGCAATATGCCCAGGTCGTCCACATCTATGGCAATGATTCTCGTTGGAGGGGTCACACCATCGGAAGCCCTTGTCGTCAATGGGTGAATGACTTGTCGTGCTTGTGTTGCTTGAATTGCCAGCATCACGGTTCGCAGGTAAGACAGTCGAGCGGCTATAACCACCAGCGCCAGAACCACCACGTCTCCCACCCGAACCCATACTCGGATGATGTCCGTTAAACGCAGCCATTGCAAAAGTCGGTATGTCGTCCTCTTGTTTGACAGGGATATCAACAGTCGATCCGTTGAGTGTTGAGATGACAGCTTCCAGGGTGGGTTCGTCCTTTTGTGTCGTGATGGCGGTGCGGACGGTGGACCAAGAGCGATGAAGGTTAAGCAGTATTATATCAGCTGTTTCGAGATCGCCGGGTTCGCAGTTCAAGCCCTTGAGTAATTTGCGGGCATCTGTGATTTTACGAATGAAGATGTCGACAGGTAGGGAAGGGTCGTGGACCGCCTGGTAGAACTCGGTACGAGCTTTGAGTCGGCGTGCCATGCTGGACTTCTCGAAGCGTTCCTTGAGGATTTTCCAGGCACTAAGCCCAGATTTTTCGTCCTCGATGAGGGTCTTGTAGTCGTCATGGACATGGGAATAGATTGTCCAGACAATCTCTCCATCGAGCGCAGCTGCTCCTTCAGCTGGCACAGCCGCCGAATTGTTTGCAATCCACGTTGCACCGGTACCCCGGAAGAACATGACCATTGTCTTGCTCCATTGACCCCAGTTGGTGTCATCAAGGTCTGCAAGCTTGGCGAGGCCAGAGAGGTGTGCAGCAGAAATGGGCATAGGGAAGATGGCGAAGAGCAAAGGGTGATGGTGAATGTGAATGAAAATTTTCGAATGTGATGCGCCGAAAGGGAAGGGAATGAGGCAAGGGTTACGCGGGGCCCATAACCTGTTAAAGGAGGAAGGAGGGGAACGCGGAGAGACCGATATGTCGGCTCGACTCAGACACGGACACGGACACAGATGGACGCGGAAAGCAAGCAGTCAAATTACTATGTATGGAAACTACGGTGTATCGAGGCATACCCATTCACAGGTAGCAAGGTAGCAGTTCAAGTTAGGTCAGGTTAAGTGCAATTGCAAGAACAGGGAAGCAAGGGATCTTGTTTATAGGAAACAAGTGGCCAGGAAGCAAGTTTGTTTGCATATTTGAGTTAGTATCTTGTGACAAGAATAGATATATTCTCTTGTTCATTTTGTGAAGCACTTTGAAGGTTGAGCTTAACTGTTCCTTCCTCTTAGGAAACAAGTGGCCAGGAAGCAAGTTTGTTTGCATATTTGAGTTAGTATCTTGTGACAAGAACAGATATATTCTCTTGTTCATTTTGTGAATCACCTTGAAGGTTGAGCTTAATTGTTCCTTCCTCTGTGTTTCATAACAACAGTACAAAGTGATCTGTAGGAAGTTGTTAATAAGCAGATTCTATTGCTATATTTGGATATTCTGAATCTGTTAGTTGTTTCCTGCAACTCGAACCCCCGAACACACACACACACACACACACAAACAATTAGTGGATTAGTAGATTAATAGGGTTGAGGTCTTGATTGAACTCCTCTATTAGTTCACTTTCCCAGTGTGTTAGCGGCGGGCAGGTGTGGGGGGGGGAGTCCTAAAATGAGTTAGCGGCCAGGAAATTAAACAGAAGCGATCACACACCTTCAGCTCTATGGTGGACTCATGCGTGGCAGTTCCAAGGACCAGCAGCTAAATGGCCAGGGGCTGTAGGGCTGTGGTGAATGAGGGAGAAGCTGTTGAGACCTTAGCTCTTCTCCCTCTCGAGAGAAAGCGGTACTCACAGGGAGGGAAAGGCACAAGATGAGGGAAAGTGTAAGGGCAACCCCAGAGGACTGAGATCAAGGTCCTAGCAGGGGGGGATCCAAAGAGAAGAAACTGCAAGGGTCCGCCTGCTAGGTAGCTGACTATATACTGCTTGTCCGTAGCTGCTGCTGTCGGGCACAGAAGGCTTGGGCGGCGTCACAGGCGAGGTCCCAGGGCGACTGTCGGGAGGGCGTTGACGGATTGGTGATTGTGCGGGCGAGATGGAGGGCCGGACCGGAGTCGGAACAGGAATCGGACCGGAATCGGGCGCGTCTCGGGGCCGAAAGGGAGGTTCCCCTGACATCACCCCCCCCTTTGAATGCGGCGTCTCGACGCATAGACCAGAACGGAATCGAGTCGAAGGTCGCGGAGGCGATG